TAGAAGTACAAGTATTGTGAATAGAGTTCAAAGAACAATAACAGATCTATATGTTTTATTGCCTAGTTGGTTCGAATGTCTAAAATCGGTTGTATTCTAAAATGTAGACAAATATGTGTGTAAAATCTGTGATATGATTTGAGAAGTATGTCTACGCTATTTTTTTTTAACGTCATCTGACTTGATTTCAGAATATATGTTAACCAGAATTCTTAATTTGTAATTCTATAGAAAGCGTGGCAACACGAATTCAGCCAACTTGCTCACTGTCGTACTCACTACCTCACACCGGTTACTTCTCGTGGAGCATAGGTCACTGATCATTATTCTTCTATCAACTGTCTTGATCTTTCAACTTCATTGAGATTACATGCACATGGTAATAAAGTTAATATTCTATGCAATGAAATAGGATATATCAATAAAAAAAATTTAAATGTTCAGTTTCATGTGAGATCACTTGACATGGACATCATAACAGTAACATGAACAATAACAGGAAAAGCTAATCAACTTGTGAATGAACTTACATTCAGCATTGGTTTTCGATTGACGTACGAGAAATAATGTTAGGACTATCAATGAACATACTGCACCGATTATCAGAATAGATAAGATGATTCTCTGTGATTTGGATAAGATTCTCAGAGACATTCTATATTTTCATACGAAAATCGTTGTGTGAACACTCATAACATAGGTTGCTTTACTACTAGATCAGGGTCTCGGGAACAATACAATTGTTGCGACATATTATTTCGATAAGGTCATACTAAATATGAACCTTTTGTATTATTTATTCATTTAATTATTCAAAATATTGAAGAATTCTCAATAACTCTGTGTCGGGTGATAGCAGATCAAATGAAATCGTAAGAGTTGATTGTTATAAATTATAGACATCACACGAGACTAAGCCTCCTCATTCTCATTGTTTGTCTAAGACATACGAGTTATTATTATTATTATTATTATTATTATGGATAACGGATTTTCGTGGTCTGATCATATGAACACAGTTCAATATGTTGAATTATTTAGAACTTGTCGTATTCAAGAGATTTTACTGAATTCATTTTTGATGTGGATAACTCTGCATACACTAGTGCTAGACCAACAAGTTTATAATAGTGAAGTCTCTTAGCATGCGGATGAAATGTTCACAGAGGCGACCTCTGAGAGATTCGGCTGAAAGGTATTGAGGATATTGTCAGAACCACGAGCTATAGAACTTAACCAAAACGTCTCTCTGTATGCCGTGATAAAATCATCAGTCGAGCCTCACTGCTCATCATACTACCACTTATACTGACAACTAATTATGTGTAATGTGAGTGTTGTTGGGGATATGTGTCATTGCAGCTGAATCTACCATCTGAATCTGCTCTGCACAAACTCACATTTTAGAATCACACATCCATGCATTGGTTGGTCAATAAGTCGACATTTTCATCATCACAGCATGAACCAAACCCCATTATTTCACTGACATGGACCAATTGAAATCGTATGTCTACACAGTTTTCATCCTTATGAATCTCAGGGGTAAGCCTGTTGGCCCCTACTGCCCTCCCTCGCTTCAGTTTTCTTATAGCCTTTTCAACTTCAGATAGAATTCGGAGGACTTATATCAATTTGCCATTCAGGTTGACTAGAGAGCGTAGGTAAATGAAGTGCGGCTGAAGGTCATTTGAATTAGTTACAGAAGTGTTCCGTTCATTAATCCAATCTGCTGGATTGAGAATGAATGATATGACCATCATTTTCTGAGATCTTTTCGCTAACACATAGATTCCTATCACCAGTTTCCTTGATAAGGCGGAACGATTGTCTTCTGTTGCCTATCAGAGCTGCCTTTCCCATCGCTTTGCCTTCGCTAACCACCACTGTTTTTGTGTGGGCTTTCCATCAGCATATGCCTGAGCTGACTTCACTCTTCGTCATGTTCAGACCCAGATGGGATGTGTTTTAAAGCATCTGTCAGTTCGGTTGTTTGAAGAATTTGATCGTGAGCAGTTCGGTCTTGTGTGCTGGTACGTGGATATCACTTCCTAGCTGCCCGCACCGTGGAAGATTTTTTATTGAGGGACCTGAAATGGAAGGCAGATTAGTGTTGGTCTTAGAGACCTGGGTGCGTGACCGCAGAGCCCAAGGGACAACTGCTTAAGGCCGGTCACGCACGGCTTGTTTATGAGAGGTTTTTAAAGTATTAGCTCCGCTCTCGTTTAAAAAGCCTTACCTCTGGAGGTGGAAATCCGTGGGTGTGGTGAGGTGTGAAATTTTTAGGGTCGGCCTTTTCTAATCCCTTCCTTCCTTGTGAGAAGGCAGCATCGCTGCAGATGCTAGTTGTCCGAGGGAAACGCCTTACTGCTGTCACACCCCTCTGCAGTCAGCAGTACGACTCCGCCTTCAGACTTTGAGTAGCTGCTTTTAGTCTCACCGTTCCCCATTTGACCTGCCTGGCATGGTAGAAGCTACAGAAACATATGTTCCAGACAATATAGCTTGGTCAGGTCATATCTATAGGCAAGCCAGACTATCACGTCAAGGTAGCAGCTACGGTCTCAGTTTCTTCGAATTGTCTAATCGAATAAAATAAACAGTGAAATTGTTGTGGAGTTTATTCAGTTTCGCTGAAATTATGAACTGACCATTGTTAGACCACCATTGGAAACCTGGAAGCACTGACTATTAGTTTTGTCCTAGTATGGGACTGCTCAGTAAAGCTTACCCAAGATTCCATTCGTGAAAATAGAACCGGGGATCTTCGATTATGCGCGCGTACGCTCAACCTTTAGAGCCCATACCCGGCATTCAAGAGTGTTATTGTCTAACTTCAATCACTACATTCAACTGCACAGTCATCACCTACTGTCTTCGGTGTACAACTACCTCACACCTGACAGAATTATACTTCACTGATCACAGTGATCATTTCACAGTTCCAATGAAGTAAAATAGTTTCTAGAGGGAATATATAAAAACCAACCTAAGACGTATTCAGATCATATTCGTACAATGTGATAAGTACTATTCAGAGGCGGTTAACTCCCGAGAACTTCTACGTAATATAAAGATCTAGTTGTTCACTTTGACTAAGCAATGAAAAAGGGCGACTACAATTTTCTCAGCTTACTTCGGTTACATCACTCTTATATTGCCATACATCACTCTTAGTTTTCTAATTTGATTGTTGCATCGCATTATTTTTTTCTAGTTAGTAATCCCACCAATCATTACATTCGCAGCAACCCGTGATGTATGATTGCATTGCTTAAGTCCTTGATCAGCCGATTAAGATTCCGACTCCATGATGATTTGCTAAAATTCAGACCGATGTTTGCAAACGTTCATTTACAATCAAAATATATATCTGTTAAATCTAACAAGGGTCATAACTAACTAGATGAAGTTTCAAACTACTTATTTGCACTATGTCAGTATGGCGAGTGACAACATTATGAAAATAATGATCTCACAACGTCACGGGATAATATGAAGATAATTTAAGTAATAAAAATAATGGTAGACTTAATGTAACAGTTCACGAAATGAGCATGGCGAGTATATATCGAAAACACATTTAAAATCACAATATTCGTGAAGGATTATTTATTACACTGTATTCGGGTGATTGTCTAAGCTAGATACAAAGATTGTGTTGTCCACATCTGCCTTGAATGACTGCATTGGGTTAGCTTGTCGGTGCTGTTGTAGATTGAAGATAGTGCTTTGTCCACATGAAGTTTCGAAAGATTCGTCATCTGCGCAATTTCGAAGGTTGTGTTTACTTCTAATTCGTGCTTAACACTATAAAGACCCTCTGTCCGTCTCCATTTGACTATCGAATAAATAGACGATAAAACAGGAATCTTCCGTCCAACTCCGTATATTCTACTTAGACTAACGCACTCTAGGTGACAATGACGATAGAAGCCTACGAATTCAACCGGAAAGATTTGTTTGAAGCGTTCATTCAAGCAAACAGACGATACGATGTGCAATGTGGAAAAGGCTCCCAAGTCTACTCATCTGATACAAAACTTGACTCAATATTTACTGTCAGGAAAGATGCGATCAAGCATATAGACAGTTAGGCAAAATTGTAAACACATGCTCTTTATCACATATCACAGAATGAAGGTTAGAATAACTCAGGTAGTTGTTACAGTGGTTTAACATGTATACTGCTGACGTTTGCACAGCTTATCAGTATTAAATGAGACGTGTGAGTTGAGTTTTCGTTATGGTGATCGTGATTTCAATACGATATATCTATTTAATTTATTTTAATTGACCTTGTATTTGAATTTATATGTATACTGTGATCAGAGAACTATAGTCTCTCCCCACTAACATGCATGGCTCTCTAGTCCGCTAATGCTTCCTCCAATATTCAGCTTTCTTTTCATACACTCTCTGTAAAACATTTTTATACTTGTTCATTGAAGTATTTGCCCGAAATAGATTGAATAAATTTCAAACTGATTAACCGAATTTAACATGTTCACAAATGATGATTGCTGTTGTACTACTTCGATCGAAACATTTACATTATCATTAGGATAAATCAGTGTAAATGATTCAGCTACTTTTCACGTTTAAATACCAAATTATTTGTATATATGTATATGATGCTATTTTCAAATAACAATTAGTTAAAGTTGGATGTTGAGAGTTATTCTTAACTCTCCTCAATTTATCAAAAAAATATCGAAGAAAACAAAAATTGCACAAGTCAATTTTACTTGTGAAAAGTGAATTTATTTCATTCATTATTATATATATATGAGTATTGTAGATAAAATAATTTATTAAAAGGAAGCATTAAAAAAAAATGTCTCTCTTCAATTCGAATGTCAAAATCAATTAATCGAAAAGGGAGGAAGGGAACAACGCCAAATTCATGTTAAATTTTGTTATGTTAAAAACAATGTTTGTTTTAGAAGACAAAAAACAAAACATCTACACTATGACACAGCTGTCAATCAAAAGAATAACGGATTCACTTAAAAACATACATTGTCACATATAGGATGTATCCAGTCGTTTAAAGAATACATTTATCTATAGGATTCATTTTTGAACCGACTGGACATTGGTACGTATCGGAAAATTCTTGACTATGTTTCAGAAGGTTATTCACACTGGGAATGAGAAATGTAAACATGAAATTGTAGAATGGAATGATGAACGATAATAATATCTCATGCATAAGTATGATATCAATAATTCTGTAGTAAATATTCACACTTACACTAGCTCACACTGATATATAATTAATCACTGCTAAAAATACGGCTTTGATGAGTGGAAATATACGATCTACGTTGAAATGAACGAAAAACGTATGAGAAGCAGACAAACCCCGTAATGCGGTTGATGAACCGCACTAAGTGAAATGCACCCATATTTTGAAGTTTAAAATAAAATTAGGTGGACCCTAATGAATGTGAGAAATGACATTGTTTGATTTGTAATATTGAACTTTGATGAAGTGACTAGTCACGTTTCATCTGTATGTTTTCAATGCTTGTCGATTCACGTCTCTGTGGTAGAGGATGACAGTATCGCTTATCGATTATATGAAAAAACGTGTCATTGGTTGATGACATTTACTTCATAATATTTAGGAACTATGAACTTAGCAAACAATATTCGTATCATATGAAAATTGAAACCATAATTCTGAAGAGATGAAATAGTCAGTCAGTTAGTCAGACGCAACGTAGAACTTCGTACGTAAGTACATCAGTTCATGTTGCCATACCACATCAGCACAGAGATATGATTGTCAATTCAAATCCAATAGTAGAAGAGGTAGTAAAGGTATTAGAAGTAATCGGATAGGTTAGGATTAGAAAATACTATTCAAGAAGTATGATTTAGTGAGATGAGTTTAGAAAGACAAAACTAGAGATGTTGAAGAATCCAGAAGATTAGGATTTGAGAGAACACAAAAAATAAATGCACCGGCGCCATTGCAAATGGTTTTGAGCCACGTCATTCAAGAAGAGATGAAATAAACACATTTTAATTTGAGATGAACATATAAAAATTTCAAGTCAATTACCTGAACTTATTATATGAGTTTGATGATTGTGAATTGGTGAGGATGATGCCGGGAGAGTAGTCTCTACACATCATCTTTAGTTTTTTAAAAAAGACAAATGAAAATGAAGAGAATTATGAATAGTAAACTGTTGTATCAAACAAAACTCAATGAATGTAATCAATATGTATTTTAATAAATTTCAGATGAACTAAATGTATGCAGAATATCGTAATGAACCTTTGGATTTGGAAAATAAGTGAGATCAATGACAAAGGGAATAATGATTAAACAATCAATGAACACATGAATATGATACAATTAACTGTTGAGTTCAAAATAAACAACATTCATTCTAATTAGTTTGTGATTTTAAAGGGACAATATTAACCATAGTCAGCCTGAGATGGAAAGCGCATATAATACACTGTTCTCAAGTTCTACCACTGTGTGATGTAAACTACTCCGACACAGCAAAAAATGATTTATGAATTACTCGTTTCAGTGTAATTAATCTATATTAATGATTCCCATTGTGAAAATTAGAACAACACATATAAGCGAACAATATTGTTTTCGATTTGATCGTCATCAGTCTTTACTCTAATATACATGAATATTTATATGAAAATATTAAACCAATCAAGGCAATTTATAAGTCAATAATCACAATGAAATGAAATAGATCAAGTCACTACATATAATAGGCAAAAGTACAAGTTGATAGTAGGCAGACGGATGTACTACAACAGAACTTAATTTTGTCTTCATCAAATGTGTAATGTGTTTGTTGTCAGCTTATCGTTAAATCTCTTAAATTAAAGTTATTTCTTCTGATGCATTCAAAATGGTTTACGGATTATTTTCAATTCATTATTGGTTTACCATAATGGGTTATGTAATAATTCATAAGACTTCAGTGACAAGACTGATTATTTCGAATTCAGAATTCAATGCAGAGCCAGTTTTAAAAAGTGAGCGAAAATTAGTGACATTTTTTAACTTTAGCTGTGTTTCAATGTCTCATGATTTGCAATATTATTTTTTATCATTTCTAATGACTAAAATCAGATTACATTTGAATGAAGACAGATTAAGTGCATATTGTCAATCGTTTATAAAGACACATTTCACAACATATTGATTTGTATTTTTCTATTCACACACCTTCAATTCCTGATGAACATGAAGTTAATAAACTTGAAACACAATCCATTATTATTCCTTGTGAGAGTGAATAATTTGTTTATATCTTCAATAAATCTCATGCATCTTTCATAAACAGCGCTTGAATCTACATTACATTTATATTTTAAGTTCTGATGATGTATTCTTACAAGTTTACTTTGTGATTTTTCTGAGATGCACAGTGTGTATGTAAAAACGTAATATGCAACTAAACTATCGATTAGATGCATACCGTTTATTCATTAAAGTAGTGTAGGCTTAAATGCTCAAATCTTTATTTTCGGATAACTAAATCCTGTTGGTTTAGTAAACCAAGTGTTCACAACTAACTCATTTGTAGTTGTTAACTGGAATCTCAATGTCAATATGTTAGAGTTTATCGATAGAATCCATCATCATTCAAGCTGTACTCTCATATCATTACTGAGGTAAGACATTTTTAGATGATAAATTGCTGTAATTAGTTAAGTAAATATTTACTTCACATGACATTTGAACTGAATGTTACATTGCCGCTGTGTAATGAAAGTAACAATCCATAATGATACGAATGACTTTTTGCTAAAGTCAAAGTTGTAAAATGTAGGAAAACTTACCTCGGTAAAGCTTGAGAAAAATAACTTCTTTTCATCCAAATCTTGACGATTTTTCATGTAATTTTTCGTGTATGTCTGAAATAAAAAAAGTAGAGCCGCTAGCCAAATCGAACAATCCACTTGAATAGGCATTTTCACACATTCATTGTTTATAAATAAACTCTCATCGATATCTCTTTCTCTGGTAACGGATAAGCAAACTATCCTGTATTTATTGCGTTAGATACAATGCTAAAAAGATTTAGCTTGATACCTCCTAGTTGTGGTTCCACGACATCCAGAGAAATGGGAAAATCCTGAAACTCACAGTCTACTAGTTAGGACTGTAGAATTACATCATTTCTGACGTAACATGTACCTTTACCATGAACTACGATCGTGTTGTTGAACCAATTTGCTATATTTGATTGTCTTGTGAATTCCTATAACTCCTCTGTCACTGTAATTTTCATATCTCTAGAATTTAAGCACTTGTTTGATGTTAGCTGTTATCAAAGATATTAACTATGAGACACTTTACTGTATTTGAGGGTATGTGTAATCGAACAGTAAATGCATTACTTACCAACCAAACAACTTTTAAAATTCATACCTTCGATATAAAATCCATACTCTGCCAACATTTAAATCCACTCAAATATAATTCAGTAAATTTAAAACGTTACTTTTGCTACGAAAAAAAATACGTCATTTGTAAAAATACAACCTATATGTAAAGTATTAGTATTATCGATAACGGAAACCAATGAATACAAACTTATTTAAAATCGCTTACTGTAAAGGATAACATAAGGCCATTAATATCAGCTGACAACCAGCTCAAATCCTAGTGTATACAAAAAACAGTAAAAAAGCTTACATTTGCCTAGATAACTGCTTTAATGTATCGAATAATCGGATTTTTTTAATTATATAGTCCAACAACATGTCAAACGTAATCATTACTGATACAGCTACATTTCAATGGTGCTTGCAAAATAAAAAATATATAAGGTGAATATAGAGTGAAATTACGGTTACCGTCAAACAACAACTTTGGATCTGCTTTCGTAGTTCAAGCTGTCGACACTTGTCATCTGCATATTACTGATATTCACGGAAACAGGACTGGGTTAAATAGATGATGAGAATTGTGGAGCGTATTTATTTTTGTCTGCTTTTCATCTAAAGCTGCCTATTCACTACGAAACATTACACATTTTAGCTCATCGTGGAATTTCTAGTAAATGATTGATACTAAAATTCATATCCATCATTTAATATCTGTTAGATGTAACAAATGAATGATATGTTATTTAGAATAGTGTACGAATCATAAACTTGATGCATTTTTGAAACTCATTCAAATTTGTTATGTTATTCTTCCTATGGACATCAGGTTATATACACATCTTTAATCAGTCTATACAACTTCAAGATTAAAGTTTTGATAGCCGTTCAAATATGCAACATTCCAAAAGGCTACTTACCTTTTTATCGTATTGCTTTAGCAAGCAACAGAGTTGAGTTTCAGAAGCTGTTAGTTCTGCTGATGTACATGAAAACTGAAAATGTCCTTGTTCATCTGTCTTCTTGTCAATATTCGCTGTAAGACAAGCATGATTTAGATATTAAAGTTTCGGTTGGGCATACAGATACGGATTTGACAATTTGCTATATACTTAAAATAACTGGAAACATTGATTTTCTGTACAACTAATTTCCATATCTTCAAAACATAGAAATTGTAACGTTTTGTAAAATAAAAATATAATTCGTATCTACTTGCAACAAATGTGGAAAATATTTGATGCATTCTCAATTATCATGGCAACGTTGGTCTAATGAATTCTATCTATCGAGTACATTTTGAAAGATGACATACTATTTCATGATGGAATTATCACTCGCTATCTTCTAGTTTATTATATTACCCTGATAGTCAGAGGCTATCATGTGAATATAACATAAATAACCTACTCTATTGTCTCAAATCATCTTAATTAAATTCAAATTTTATTCACTACATGCATGAAAAAGTTTCCTCCACTATCAATGTACATACTAAACTGAAGGATGAAATCAAGCACAGTGACACTGAGTACGAAACATACGTATCTATTTAAGTGATTTTATTGCAAAGAACTAATTCAAAAGCATTACACTTCTTTTAGCTGTTATTAAATATTATAAACTTTGAGAAGCCATACATTCTACAACAGGTAGACTTTGCAATCAGATGAAGATGTCTTGTACACATATGATCAACAACCTTCAGTTGTTCACGCAATGAGTATATAGAAATTGTCATATCTCAGTACTTAATGAACTATTCTGAATGACGAATTATGACAAATATAATTTGAATAAAGGGAAAATTATTCATAATTCACCTTCATACATAAGTTGACGACCGATAAACCAACCGATAGTACCATATTTTTGAGACATTGAATATGTTGCTTTGAGAAACGGTGGATGTAATAGACCAGCAGATATCTTAATAAATTTATCTTCAACCGAACTAGATATGTACGGCTCAAAACTGAAATTCTCAGGCCTAAAAAGTTGTGAGCAGATATATGACAAACATTTAGTTATTAGAGTTTAAAACCAGTAAATGAAAGAAAAACTTTAGATAAGCGAATGTAGTGTAAGTTTATTTGATGATGATCTTCCCCAAATCATGATTTCTTGTACCGATTACTTTCCATAGATAAACGATTGAGTGCGGTTAGTGTGTGATGAAGAGTAGTACTGCACAACGTTGTAAATAAAGCTAAAATAGCAAATAGATTGACCTGCTATTGCCAAGCTTGTCTGCAGTGATTCACTGGATGACCTATAAAAGTATTCAGTGTCATTAATCTCACCTTCTTTGAACATCAGACTTAACTAAACGAAACGTGTTGAGACCATCGGTCTAGGTAAATCTATGTCATAATGCATGTTATTGGGACTTTGAAAAATTTTAGAAAATCAGCAAGAAGCTCTGTTCAGGTTTTCTGCAATACAAGTATTCAAAATCGGTTGTTATCTTGAGGATGATAGAGATATATTGAAAAATTTTTCATTGACGATACTGTTTATTCTGCATGTTAAGAAATGACGATTGGTCTGCCAGTTTGTGGCACGATGAAAATGTTCTGGATGATAATCAGGGACAGTAGAATAATAGGAATTATTGGTATCATGATTCAATATTTTTTTAAAGCTACAATTACAGGACGCCTGTGCTGAGTAAACCGTTAGAGAAACACCTGTCAAGAGTCACAACACTAGCACTCAAAGATTATACAGTGAAGGTTTATCATGATTACACTATGCATTAATGTATTTAGCATTTAATCATGTCTCTAACAACCGGAGTATTGGAAATAGATCACAGAATGAATAATTACAATTACAGTAGGGCTAGGAAGAATCTGCATTGAATTTAAAATAGTTGAATTAGAATCAAAGTGGGATGTTTGACGACTTCTAGAATGGAGTAAGGTTAACACACCTACTATCAACAGGACACCCTAACATCAAAATCCAAGCATTTATTGCTAACAGTCAGTACGAAAATCCACACTGTTGAACTATGCGGTTTTCTAGATCACAAATGCGTTTCGGGGTTGAGTAAGCAGTGCTTTACTAATTGTAGGTTGATAAACATAATGTACATTTCTAGAAGTATATTGTGAGAAACGGGCGAGACCTTGTGGTTCTGTTCAATCGCTTTCTGAGTATACATTAGTAGAGTGAATCACTGTTTGCATGAGGTTAGGATTATCTAGTTATTTTGGAATCATCGAAAATTGTTTGTCACATGGTGAGATAAGAACTTATGCATTCATGATGTCCATTTAATTACCTAATTAACTTTTCGGTAAGCTCTCATGTTGAATTTGTCTAATATGGTTGTATATGACCAAAGTGATCAAAGTGTAATTTCACGATGACAGTAAAGAAAATATCTGACAGTTGAAAGCATGCAAACTGATGTATATAGAGTGAAAATGAAGTCAGACAGCCAAATAGATTGAACTATTGGATGTATCTGGTCCTAGTTATTAAATCAGTTTTTGAAATACTAGTAGTTTTAAATAATGATATGAAAATTAAACTATTTCTGAAAAGATACTTTTAACACTGAGTATTTACCTAGACAAAATGTGTAAAAATAATACTCAAAAATTAAGAATTACTCGTAGTAGGTATTCAAGAGTTTGTAAATTGATTTAAGGAAGTTGTTCTTCTGAGAGTAGTACGCATTCATGAAGTAATTAGTCTTGGAAATTTGATTCTAAAATAGAAAGGAGATGATTTCACGAGCTTAACCCAAATTTGTCAAATGAATAAACACAGGAAATGGATGGTAGAATTACCGGGAAAATGTTTTAATTTAAATATTCAACGGCATGATCTATCTAAGTGACTTTTTAGTGTGTATTACATTGAGCCCATATGGCTTGGTCCCAGCTTTCGAACAAGCTAATTGACCTTTTCTGACTGGGCCATTATTCATTTGCCTTTCGACTATTTGCTCATAACCTTGGCTGCTTTTATGTGAGTGTATATGTGCATGCTTACTTCGCTTATTGAATGTCTAGCCTATATTCGAAAATCAAGTTTATTTAACAGAATGGTCCAGGAAAACTATGTCCATAACTGATACATACAGAATGACATATATCATAAAAATAATCAGGTGTATAAAGGTTGATTTCCTCAGAGGTCGAAATTATGGTGTAGTATGTGAAATGTTGTGTATTTCACATTTAAGACTTTATTATTGAATTAAAATTACTTAAGGCTTAAACAGTTCTTTAGAAAACTTGCTGTACAGTTTTCATCACGAAATAACTTTCATTGGAGGCTTGATTTGTGCAAAGCCTACTATTATTCTCTTCACTCTATTTTCAATCTTAATTGTACAATGTATCCTGATAAATTTTCGGTAGTACCATCGAAATGAAAAAAAAAGCACATGTTCTATTACTTGACAAATGATTGAAATCATTTAAATCAATGTACCTAATCACTAGCAATTCTTTTAATTTGGCGAATCCACTTTACCGACTGTTTCAGAATAATATTAATTATCAATAATGGAAAATTTATTTTCAAAACTCACATTGAATATGAAGTCTCTATTCTCTCTATCTTCTGCAATCAAGTAATCCGAAGTAATAACAGACAACTGAAAAGCGTTGACCTGAACAAGTGAATGTATTAGTGTTTAATTCTTAAATCAAAATAGGACAAACCAAATTAATGGATTTCTGTTTTTCTTCTTCTTCACTGAACCATGATTTTGATGATAATGATTGAATTAAAGTTCCTTTCAATTCACCAAACATTTTAAGCACCTTATTCAACGTAGACATATTGGTGGAAATCAAAGTGATTACATAAACGATGGTTAATTAAGAATATTTGTTTATATAATACAGAATAAATCTTAACTATATTCAAGATTTCTAGATGATAACACTCAACTGACTCAGATTATATTCCGTATTTAATACAACTATCCTTCATCCTAGTGTCAATTCAATTCACTAAGAGATGTAATTCAATTATGCATTGGATCAAATAGCCAACTGTCATCTATGAAACAAATTAATTTGTACACAACCAATTGGTAGTCCATGTGTATAATATGTAGTAAAATTTACTGTAATTTACTGAGAGTTCATATAGTTGTGTCGTTGTAATATGAACTATTGAGTTAGTTAGTTTATCAATAGATATTTACAGTTGTAGTAACACAACTGTATCGAGATATGATTTAGAGACAGTAAAATTGTTTACAGTTTCATCATTGAAGTGAAATTCACAGTAGAAACAGTTTGTATGTTTGCATTGATACCTGTTAAACAATAGCCTATAGTTTTTGATCAAACTAGTGAGATGAAACAACACATAGACAGCATTCTATTAAAATATATTAACTTACCTCATTTTCTACATCTTCACTGATACTAGATAATTCATGATTTTGTTCTATTGTCCATCGGAAATTTTCTTTCACTTCATCAATGCAACTGGTTACTTTTTCGGCTAACAATTTTATCGACATGAATCAATAATTTTGTTGTATAGATAATTGATGAAGTAAAATAATGAAAAGAGTGAATAAAACTCTGTTTATTTTCAATTTGTGTTTATCGTCATGTAGCTTAATTCAGTAATGGATGCATGCCTCCTTTTTCCATAGACAATGAATGTAAAATTTGGCTGAATTGTTGAACTCACACACCGAAAGTAAACTAATGCTATAGAGTGATCCATTCACTAAATAACAAAACTTGATGATCTGATCATCTTTACCATGCCTTAAATACACACAAGTGGCACTTATTTATTGGTTTTCTAGCCAGATCATTGTTTAATCAATTGTCCTCATTACGTCGTCGAATATTATTTATCTGGAAAGTATCTGACAACTGACAAGAGATTTCATGTTTAATATATCATCAATAGGCTCAATATCGTTTATTGAAAGTAGATTGCTGTGTGTGCCTTTCCACTACTTCTGAAATTAAAATAGAAACTTTAGAACTGGACATAAATGAAAATCGAAAAAAATTCGATCTCTACTACTGACAGTGTTACTTACGACTATCATAAGGATAAAATTCTTTAAAATACTGATTCAATGTTTTTCTCATGTTGTACAGGAAACTGATCACTATCATATTGTGCAGATTTCTTTGTAAATAAATAAAAAGGTTACGACGTACTTAATTGAGAAATAGTAATCATATGATCTGACAATAACCAAGAAATATTTTGTCTAAAATTAACGTTAGTAGTAGTTTGTAAGTGTAGAATAGAATGACCAATTTTAATATAAATAGTGAGTGCTTAGAAATAGGATAGAGTTCATAGAAAAACTGCTATACATGTATCCTATTTCTCGTGATCATATATGTCAATAATTCAATGTGTGATGGATGCACATGATTAGAATTCAGAAACATTTATCGTCCATGAACGTTTGTTCCTCTGCATTACACAAATCCGTTTGATGCAGCTACAAAAATACAGTAAAATGTGCAATTGCTGTTTATTGAAAAAGACAAGTTTTTAATTTATTGTGACTCATGTGTTTACGTGAATGAGACAATCGGCTCAGCAAATCGAATAGTTGTTGACAAAAACACCAAAATTCTTGTATTTTGACTGGTATAAAAAGAATTAGAGAAGCATTTTACAAAATACTTTGTAAACAATTCTCCATCTCCGATTCACATGATGATTTCCTATTAACAGAGTCATTAAAGCAAGTACATACAAACGTGTATTACGATTATGCTGTGATTTCATTCTCTCAACCAATTCTACAAATCGATTCAACAGATGGTGGATTTATTCACTGGTCTCAGAACGCACTCATTGGTATGTTTGTGTACCTTCAAATGGAACACTTATTCTGATGGCATTAGTGAGTGATAGAAATCAAGTGAAAAACGTGTGAAACACTAGCGGGTGGAGAACATCATACTTTGAAGTAACTTATATGTATGTGGGCTTACATACAGCTCAATTGCAAAACTATGCTTCACATTGTTCCGAACTCAGTTTTCGTTAATTTACACAAGCCTGATTTTCTAATGAATGAAGAATACCTAGAGTTAAGTAAGGAAACGTCGCTTTTCTACGGTGATAATGATCACTAATATAATACTTCGCAACAAATCACTCTACCATTAAGTATTTATGTCTGTCTCATACGTTTGTTTGAATAAACATAGACAATAGTTCAACAAGTGATACGATATCCGCTTTTGAAAATGAATTACTCTGACTGTCATAGTGAGAACAACAGTTTGAAGGCAAAAATTAACGACAAGTTATTTGGTGAAATAAATCATTTATGAAAGCATAACACTCAAACTGGGGGAAATTACTTTCTTCCCTGTTCTGTTCTCATAGCTGAGCCGTGTATGTCACAAACGCTCTTCAACGATTCCAGATCTTGAACAACAACTTTCAGATTCTTGTATGAATCATACTTGATTTCACTGAATACACTTTCAAATAAAACATTCCAGTTGACCTGATCGAAATAGATAATAATTTTAGATAAATTTACGATGATGAGAAAATACACGATGTCATTGTCATTCAGCTCATCAAGATCACTAGTTATCGTACACTTTGTAGTCTACAGTAAATTTAATTCACATTGTACTGTTACTTTCACCTTCATTGTAACTGAAAACCAGTGAGTTAGAAGTTTGTTTGACTAAGGTTCGTCCATACTAACTTGAAGGGAGGTGACCGAAATGACACTGAGACACAACTGTGAAAGATAAACACAAATTTCATCAAGTTTATTAGCGGACAAGTAGTAAATAATCCTTGTTGGTTCAAACAGTTTCATTAAGTTGTCCAATTATGAATATGAGTAAATCGTAAATCAAAAGTGTCCAGAAATTAATTTCGTGACTCAGTCCATTGTAATAATAAGTCAATAAATGAATGAAAACCCTTCTTACTTGTATGATCAGAGCATTTATGAAGGTGAACAATTTACTAGTTGATGAATTATTATCTGGTCTTTCGTATGAATTCACATAAGTGGATCTACACCCATTCACTCACTGCTTGGAATTAAAAATATTATTAACATGTACATACTACCTTGAAAATGACTTATTCCTCAACTTACTATGGAACAGATTTCTGTCAATTTTGTGATGGTGACTTCTGTGTTGAAACCAGTTAGTTTTGTCACCTGAAACAAATATGATAGCAAAATATGACAACAGCCGGTAATTTGACCAAGTTTCGGGAGTTAGCATTGCTAGGAATTTTCAAAGAAGATTGAAACTGTTGTTGAATGTTGTTTTGTTGTGGCTGGTCTTCAAACACAATGAAAACTTACCAACTTGTTTTTCTTGATCCACTATTGCAGATTACGTCTTGATATCTTGTTTGGCATCACGGATTGTGCTATCGGAGATACGTTGTGCGATATTACTTTCATTATTTTGTTCACCATTAAATCTAACTGTAGACATCATTTTGAACGTAACAAAAGTGCTATTTGGAGAATCAGTTCTCTCAAAGCAACGGACATCCGTATCCATACTCAGCTACAACCTGCATTATGTATTTTGATGTCTCATCGAGTATTTCCGATGTCTACTTTTCTTTTGAAATGAACTCACTATATTATCAGCTTCATCAGTCGCTTATACAAATTTGGGTGTTTAAATCTAAGATGTCCGATGTTACTCACTTGCATGTTGTTGAATATTCAAATGATGTAAGTAAACTACAGTAGAGTGTCATTTATTTTAGTGAAATTTTGAAGTCATTGATGGCATAGATTGTTCGTGCTTATTTTTAAAAATTCAAGTGTACATAGGGAATAATAAGGGAAAGGCTACCCAGTTCGTAGTTCATAACAAGTTACCATCCAGCTAAGCTTAAATATTTGTACCTTCATTCCGACATCCAAACAACCCTCAGAAGATATAGATTTTCTGAAGACGACTAATCAGTTTTTCTCCGTCATATCAACCGGCAAATTCGAGCAACCAGTACGTCCAAATCAACACTATTAGGTTGTGTTACTGTTATCACTTAGATTTTATCTTTGCAAGTAAATTATGTTACAGATATATCGTTCACAGGACAGTGTATGTTGACATCTGCAAATATGATCTCAGAATATAGTTCTACTTTCAGACAAAATTGATCGAACAGAGGTCTATTATTCGACCCGATGCTCAGCCATAAATCTGGTCATTTTACTTTTTTGCCTGTTATATCTCTTCATAATCAACCAGCACGACGAAATAAAATGTTTATACCACTGTTTGGCTGGAAGCTTATTGGTTTACCAAGACTCCATACATGAGTTCTATGACTGCAGTAGAGATGCAAAATTTACTGAAAATTATTTTTGTTTTCTATAAAATATTGAAGTGTATCCAAAAATGCATGAAAACGTACTTTCAGATAATTTCCAAGTAATCCTGGTCAGTTTACTTACATTTTTAATTTTTGAATGCAATCCGAAAACTTCTTTGATAAATTTTTTCTTATCTTTGAGAGGTCCGAATGCCCTCATATATGTGAAAAGCCGTTCTTCCGTACTGATGTTTTTTCCATCAGACTGTGAGTTATGAAAAAGATGGGTTACATAAATTTTAATCCCCTTCAAGCATTATGTATATTCCAGAATAGATTGCTTTCTTAAGGATGGAATAATGGAATAATTATAAGTAGGGTCCACCCACTTGTCGGTATTATTGACTGCCATAACATCAAGGCAGATTTACAATAAGTCATCACCTTATCTCTTATTCCATACCATTTGCACAGGCAGGTATTTTCCCATGAATATCAACTTGTTATTGTCACATTTTCATGTGCATAGCCATTCAAGGAGTTTATGTCACATAAAATAAGACATTAGAAAATAGTCATGTAATTAAGGAAACTTTTGTATTGATTAGGCATCTCCTTTTACATATATGTTTGACAATGCTGCTTAACATAACTCAAGTCGAAAAAAACATATTTCAGTGTAAGGAACAAGGGATATGTCATCCCCTTATTCAAACATTCAAAACATTTCTAAAACTCCTCACAGCACTTCGTCGTTTTCATGTGTTCTGTATCAGAAGTTACAATGTGTTAAGATTAAGTTATTGTTGAGATTGCGTTAGTTGATGAAGTAAATGCAAAAAACCTGTGAGTGTCTTCGCTTACCATACTTAAAACCACACTGTCAAAGGCATCCAACGAACCTGGAGAAACCTGAAATGAAATACAAATCATATGTACTATTTATGTAGAAATCAAATTTAATGTCATACAGTCAGTTCTTTGGAAAACGTTTATTTCATTAGATGGTATCCATTGGGAATTCCGGTTGTTATTCACAATGTGGAAATTCCTTACTTTGTTAAAGTACAAACCGTCATTCGATGTTTTTTCTCGTTTAGGTATGCTCTGGTTTTGTCGAACAGTACAGAGAACTCTTGCAGTGAAGTCCCATAACATCATTGTAGTTAGCTATTAGGTGGTGTGAAAGTTACTAATGTGCAGATTTACTGCCGAATTTTTGATTCACTTTGAGACACACCAAAGTGATGCGACTTCTTACTTACACTTCAAATAATTATTATGCCACTGATTACAAAAGCTTCCGATGAACCATACTGACCAATTCTTGTAAGCGGAAGACATCACAAAGAAATATTTAGCCGTTTATGTGTTTATTTCGAAATCAGGATTTACGGAGATTCGTCTCTCAGTTACTCCGAATAGTGAAAACGTTTTCAGTTAGTTTACACATTTTCAGTGGTCCTTCAACTGCTGTGGTTTTATTTTGAAAACATTATCAGTATTAGGCACTTGAAATTCAATATTACATGTAAATAACCAAATCATGTAATTCCAGATAGCTCACATGAATATATGGGTTGTCAGCTCCTAATAACTTTAGAGAAAATAGAGTTGTGCTTCCACTTTGGAATAGCAAGGGTAAAAGTAAACTTGTAAGATTGAATACTTCATCAAGTGTATTCTTTTTGATAATCAAGGGGTTTTTATCAAAATTCGTTGTCAAAAACCATCCATTAAATAGGGATGTTATAAGTTTAATAACATTATTTTCATTTGTCTGTTTGTCCGCTTTGAGACTTGTACAAGCTGAGTAGTAATTAACAGCGCTTTCTAGGCGTAATCCACTTGCTTGATTTTTATTTTCCACTTGGAATGAAAGAAAAAATAAAAATTTGGCATCACTTAACTCAATAAAATAGCTATCTATTCATTACAGATTTACAATGGAACAAGGCAAACTTATACCAACACATGAATATTAATGGTAAGTAAATCTACTGGATCAGCTTGATGATTTCTGATTTGAATATTGATCGAATCGTGTCTTACGTAGAAGTCTGCAAAATTCAACACGTAAAATGATACCTGCAACTGTTCAAATGACGGTTGATCGTAAAATACTGAGTAAGTATGGTGGGGTGTTTGAGACGTTATTCATCGCTGATCGCTATTCCGATGTTCATCAAAAATGAAAGAGTAGTTGATAATGTTCAACATATGTTTGCTGAAAAAACGCAGCCAATATTTCGATGACCTTGCGATTTTCTTAAGTATACATATGTACAAACTCCACTAGTGGAACCTTCAGGTCTACTGCCGTTCCCAAGCCCTGATAAAGGAGGAAGGGTTGGACATGGGTTTGGCGCCCACATCCCAACAACAAACAAACTTGCCAAACAAAACGCTAACCAGATAAATTAACTCAAACCATTTCAACTCTGCCCTAGGAGTTGGAAGAAGAATTATGACGTCTCTTGATGAAAGCCGAGTTCCCTCGGAAGTCACAGGGCCGATGCCTCTTCTGACAACCAGAGCAACCATTCTTTCAGGTACATGGAACGTTCGAACATTGTGGGAGACTGAGAGACTATTTCAAGTTGCAGCAGAAATCAAAAGATACAACCTCGAGGTGCTCGGCATCAGTGAAAAGCATTGGACACAGGTAGGACAACTGAGACTAGCTTCAGGGGAACTGCTGTTATACTCTGGTCATGAAGAGAAAAATGCTCCACATACACAAGGAGTTGCACTGATGCTGTCCAAACATGCACAAAAAGCACTGATAGGACGGGAATCTCATGAACCAAGGATGTTTAAAGCATCTTTCAAAACAAAGAAGGAGGACATTACAATGAACGTCATCCAATGCTATGCACCTACCAACGACTACAATGACGACGTTAAAGGTCAATTTCACGAAAGGCCGCAGTCAATCGTCGACAGATGCTCATCAAAGGATTTGACCATTCTGACGGGAGACCTAAATGCCAAGGTTGGCATATACAACAGTGGATATGAAGCTCGCTGGAAAACATCGTAAACCAGAACGACCAGTGAAAAGCAAGGAAGGCAAAGTAATCAGCAACACTGAAGAACAGCGAAATAGGAGGGTAAAGCGCTTTAAGGAACTCTTGAATCGATCAGCTCCACTGAACACACCCAACATCAAAGCAGCATCCACGGACCTCCCAATTACTATTGACGCATCTACAATTGAAGAGATCAGTATGGACATTAGACAAATCAAGAGCGGCACATCAGCAGTACCAGACAACATTCCAGCAGAGGCAATGAAAGCAGATGTGGAAGAAACTGCAAAAATATTTCACACTCTCTTTAACAAGATTTGGGATGAGGAACAAGTACCATCAGATTGGAAAGAAGGATACCTGATCAAAATACCAAAGAAAGGCGATCTCAGCAAGTGTCAGAACTACAGATGCATCACTCTTCTCTCAGTACCACGTAAAGTCTTCAACATGGTATTGTTAAACAGAATGAAGGACTTCGGAGACGCCAAACCTCGAGATCAACAGTCCGGATTTCCTAAGGATCGATCGTGTATTGACCGAGTCGCTACATTACGGATCCTTGTGGAACAATCAATTGAATGAAAATCACCACTCTACATCAACTTCATCGACTACGAGAAGGCATCCGATAGTGTGGATAGGAAATCACTGTGGAGGCTTCTTCGACACTACTGTGTACCTGAGAAAATAGTTAACATCACACGGAATTCGTATGATGGATTCAACTGCGAAATCGTACACGAAGGACAGCTAACAGACTCTTTCGAGGTGAAGACCGGTATCAGGCAAGGTTGCCTACTCTCACCCTTTCTCTTTCTCCTGTTGATCGACTGGATTAAGAAGACGTCAACATCCGGAGGGAAGCACGGTATTCAGTGGACAGCTAGGACGCAGCTGGGCGATCTGGACTTCGCAGATCACCTGTCTCTTCTATCTCACACGCAACAACAAATGCAGGAGAAGACGACCAATGTAGCAACAGCCTCTGCAGCAGTAGGTCTCAACACACATAAAGGAAACAGCGAAATTCTCCAATGCAACACAACATGCCCCAACCAAATCACTCTTGATGGAGATGCCTTGGAGGACATAAAAACGCTTACGTATCTGGGCAGCATCATCGACAACCAAAGTGGATCGAGTGCAGATGTGAGGGCACGGATTGGCAAAGGAAATTTTGAAAAATATCTGGAACTCCAAACAGCTCTCAATCAACACCAACATCAAGATTTTCAATACAAATGTCAAGACAGTTCTACTGTATGGAGCCGAAACTTGGAGAACTACGAAAGGCATCATCCAGAAGATACAAGTGTTTATTAACAGTTGTCTCCACAAAATACTTCGGATTCGTTGGCCAGACACGATCAGCAACAACGTACAGTTGGAGAGAACAAATCGAATTCCAGTGGAGGAGGAAATCAGGAAGAATCGATGGAAGTGGATAGGACAAACACTACGAAAATCATCTAACTATGTCACTAGACAAGCCCTCACATGGAACCCTCAATGTGAAAGGAAAAGAGGAAGGCCAAGGAACACATTGCGCCGAGAGACAGAGAAAGACATGAGAAGCGTGATCAAAAACTGGAAAGAACTGGAAAGGGAATCCCAGGACAGAGTTGGTTGGAGAAAACTGGTGTGCGGCCTATGCTCGATTTGGGGTAACAGACGTAAGTACGTTTGCTGTAAAAGCAACACTCACATTGACAATGCTGACGGAATCAAAAACACGGTTATATGCAATAGTTTTTACAACTTATGCGTATTTGTAGATAGCAGCGAATAACCAGGCTATGCGCATATAAAAAATGACGATCGATTAAGGGAGTAATCTAGCTGAAATCTCAGACTAGAATCGATTCAGATAGTGTTTTTAATATTGAAGCTATAGTTGATTTCAAATATTGCTATTTTGTGCTAAGATTTATGAAATTAAATCTTCGTAGATTTCTTACATTCCATCAAGTGTAGTTGAAGTGAAATGGATGAAAAACACTCTCAAAAAGTTACCTACATTAAAAATTCATCATAACAACAGCCAGCAGGAGTTTCAAGTAAATGAGAAATTTTACTTTCATTATTTATTGAACCTGAAGTTAGATTACTGTCATTAAGTAGTATTTTTACTACCAAACTTCCTGACTGTTTCTGCTGACCCATGTTAACTTTCGTCTCGATTGTGAAATAATTTGAAGCCACTAATATTTACACTAATATTCGCAGCTACAGTTTTACTCTGGAAATAGGTAACTGATCATGAGTTCCAAAATGTAACCAAGTTTTGAATATCCGTCAACAATTCAGTATGCATTCGAAACAGGTTGACACTTAGTAAACATTAAGGATATTTAATACAGATTCGTTAAACCGATAAGTAGTTCGTAAAACGGTATATAATAAACTTACGCATATCTATGATGATATCGTCTGATGTTAGTAAAGGATTATTTTGGGAATCTTCCGACACTTGTTTAGGGCAGACAACTTTCTTGAAGTCGTCACAACCGACGTTAATATCATTCGTTGTGTTAATACTTGTGCAACTATCACCAACGCAGGTTTCGCCTGCACAGGAAACAAAACATGAAGAAGTTCGATGATTTAATTACATTTTACAAAGTATTCAAACATAACAGGGAATTTCACAATATAAATTTCGTGTTCCCGAGGATAAATTGCGCTAACTTAGTATTGGTGATGACGTTTAGTGATGGTAAGTAAAGCATTTCCATGACTGAAGTTAAAATTTCCTGATTATGCGACCCCGTCTGATTACTTTAGTATGAAAAAGAATCAAATAACTATATTTCCTCTGGATAAATTGGTGACAAATTTGCAAGAACTGTAAATTTAGTGAACAGAAAATATATAATTTGCTGTTTGCATGATTCTGCGCGCTTTGGTTAACTACTGAACAATAACTCTAAGGTGTTTGGAAGTTTCTTGCACACACTTACTGGAACGGGCCTCCTTCGATTCATCCAATGTCGGAGATTTCGTTGTAATCAGTGAATGGTCTATTTCGGCTAAAAGGTATAAAAAAGACAGAAACCATATTATATATATATATATACTATATTTCATCATAAATGTACAATGCGATTTCACTGGGTCAATAAATGCCACTATTTGTATCCTGATGATTCAGGGAGACAGTTCACTGTGACTGACGATAACTACACTTAATAATGCATCGAATGTAAGCTCCGTGAATTTTAACGCTGATCAATAAAAGTGACAGCTTCTTGCAATAGAAGTACAAGTATTGTGAATAGAGTTCAAAGAAAAATAACAGATCTATATGTTTTATTGCCTAGTTGGTTCGAATGTCTAAAATCGGTTGTATTCTAAAATGTGGACAAATATGTGTGTAAAATCTGTGATATGATTTGAGAAGTATGTCTACGCTATTTTTTTTAACGTCATCTGACTTGATTTCAGAATATATGTTAACCAGAATTCTTAATTTGTAATCCTATAGAAAGCCTGGCAACACGAATTCAGCCAACTTGCTCACTGTCGTACTCACTAACTCACACCGGTTACTTCTCGTGGAGCATAGGTCACTGATCATTATTCTTCTATCAACCCTGTCTTGATCTTTCAACTTCATTGAGATTACATGCACATGGTAATAAAGTTAATATTCTATACAATGAAATAGGATATATCAATAAAAAAAATTTAAATGTTCAGTTTCATGTGAGATCACTTGACATGGACATCATAACAGCAACATGAACAATAACAGAAAAAGCTAATCAACTTGTGAATGAACTTACATTCAGCATTGGTTTTCGATTGACGTACGAGAAATAATGTTAGGACTATCAATGAACATACTGCACCGATTATCAGAATAGATAAGATGATTCTCTGTGATTTGGATAAGATTCTCAGAGACATTCTATATTTTCATACGAAAATCGTTGTGTGAACACTCATAACATAGGTTGCTTTACTACTCCAATACGTTTATATATATATATATATTTTTTGATTGTTTGAACGCAGTCATTGAAGACAAAAAAAATATTTTTGATATGATATTAGATCAGGGTGTCGGGAACAATACAATTGTTGCGACATATTATTTCGATAAGGTCATACTAAATATGAACCTTTTGTATTATTTATTCATTTAATTATTCAAAATATTGAAGAATTCTCAATAACTCTGTGTCGGGTGATAGCAGATCAAATGAAATCGTAAGAGTTCATTGTTATAAATTATAGACATCACACGAGACTAAGCCTCCTCATTCTCATTGTTTGTCTAAGACATACGAGTTATTATTATTATTATTATTATTATTATTATTATTATGGATAACGGATTTTCGTGGTCTGATCATATGAACACAGTTCAATATGTTGAATTATTTAGAACTTGTCGTATTCAAGAGATTTTACTGACTTCATTTTCGATGTGGATATCTCTGCATACACTAGTGCTAGACCAACAAGTTTATAATAGTGAAGTCTTTTAGCATGCGGATGAAATGTTCACGGAGGCGACCTCTGAGAGATTCGGCTGAAAGGTATTGAGGATATTGTCAGAACCACGAGCTATAGAACTTAACCAAAACGTCTCTCTGTATGCCGTGATAAAATCATCAGTCGAGCCTCACTGCTCATTATACTACCATTTATACTGATAACAAATAATGTTTAATGTGTGTCGACATTTTCACCAAATTAACATGAGGCAAGCAATCGTTTCCTATTATCTCATTGACATGGACCAATTGAAAGGGTACGTCTTTACGGTTGGCACATAGATTCCCAGTCGTAACATGAGGTAAACGTGTAAGGTGAGTTAGAGATTAGATTTGAATAAGAGTATTGGAGTTTGTTTTGCACACAATTTCCTTCTCATTTCAAACAAGGTCTTGTCTGAAATGTCACTCTCCTCCTGTCACTAATGACCGACTTATATCGACTCTTCAATGGATGAACATTAGTGATCACAAACAAGTGGTTCGAAGTTGACATTGATTCGTGCTGAATGAGTGCACATTGGAACTTGATGCATACAGTCATTACAAAGCTGAAAATTTTGTCTGGTTAAAATGTCCATTATAATTATGGTAAATTTTTTGAATATTCCATCTTATTAAAGTTGCATAAATGCGTATTTTAGGAGTTGTCGTTACAACCAGTGACACTAAGTATGTTACTCACTCACCGGTTCAACAATGATTTGTAATTGAACATGACGTTTGCTAATTAATGCTTGGACATAGACGTGTTACGATCATTTTATCTATGAATCAGACTTTTTGGTTTTTACACTGCCACAATTTTTTTATAGAATCAGTCGATAGTAGATAGTTCATTTCACAATTAATTGACTTTTTGTTCTATTATATTCACATTCTACAAAATGCAAGTTCACTTATTCACTTGGTGCTCAATTTAATAAGTGTACCGACATTTGTCTATCTAACATAATTACAACACTCACTAGTTCATTTAATTATGATAATATGCAATAATTATTGACGTTCCACTTATACAAATAGTAATTGGTTATCGATGGCAGTTATGGTAAATAACGCCAGTCTTCAAAGTGAGTATGTGAATTTACATAGTTATCCCCAGTTCTGTGATAGGAGAATTTTTTTCGACTTTATCCTCTGGAGTCAGATGAAAATGTGCTGAAGACACTTGTGGCGATGAGTTAAATATAATTAGACGAACATTTCCGGACAATGACTACAATCTAATTTCTAATTCCTAAACTTCCATTTGATATTAGATCCAAGTTTCCAACTTACATACTTACGTCTGTTACCCCAAATCGAGCATAGGCCGCACACCAGTTTTCTCCAACCAACTCTGTCCTGGGATTCCCTTTCCAGTTCTTTCCAGTTTTTGATCACGCTTCTCATGTCTTTCTCTGTCTCTCGGCGCAATGTGTTCCTTGGCCTTCCTCTTTTCCTTTCACATTGAGGGTTCCATGTGAGGGCTTGTCTAGTGACATAGTTAGATGATTTTCGTAGTGTTTGTCCTATCCACTTCCACCGCTTCTTCCTGATTTCCTCCTCCACTGGAATTTGATTTGTTCTCTCCAACTGTACGTTGTTGCTGATCGTGTCTGGCCAACGAATCCGAAGTATTTTGCGGAGACAACTGTTAATAAACACTTGTATCTTCTGGATGATGCCTTTCGTAGTTCTCCAAGTTTCGGCTCCATATAGTAGAACTGTCTTGACATTTGTATTGAAAATCTTGATGTTGGTGTTGATTGAGAGCTGTTTGGAGTTCCAGATATTTTTCAAAATTTCCTTTGCCAATCCGCGCCCTCACATCTGCACTCGATCCACTTTGGTTGTCGATGATGCTGCCCAGATACGTAAGCGTTTTTATGTCCTCCAAGGCATCTCCATCAAGAGTGATTTGGTTGGGGCATGTTGTGTTGCATTGGAGAATTTCGCTGTTTCCTTTATGTGTGTTGAGACCTACTGCTGCAGAGGCTGTTGCTACATTGGTCGTCTTCTCCTGCATTTGTTGTTGCGTGTGAGATAGAAGAGACAGGTGATCTGCGAAGTCCAGATCGCCCAGCTGCGTCCTAGCTGTCCACTGAATACCGTGCTTCCCTCCGGATGCCGACGTCTTCTTAATCCAGTCGATCAACAGGAGAAAGAGAAAGGGTGAGAGTAGGCAACCTTGCCTGATACCGGTCTTCACCTCGAAAGAGTCTGTTAGCTGTCCTTCGTGTACGATTTCGCAGTTGAATCCATCATACGAATTCCGTGTGATGTTAACTATTTTCTCAGGTACACAGTAGTGTCGAAGAAGCCTCCACAGTGATTTCCTATCCACACTATCGAATGCCTTCTCGTAGTCGATGAAGTTGATGTAGAGTGGTCAGTTCCATTCAATTGATTGTTCCACAATGATCCGTATTGTGGCGATTCGGTCAATACACGTTCGATCCTTACGAAATCCGGCCTGTTGATCTTGAGGTTTGGCGTCTCCGAAGTCCTTCATCCTGTTTAACAATACCATGTTGAAGACTTTACGTGGTACTGAGAGAAGAGTGATGCATCTGTAGTTCTGACACTTGCTGAGATCGCCTTTCTTTGGTATTTTGATCAGGTATCCTTCTTTCCAATCTGATGGTACTTGTTCCTCATCCCAAATCTTGTTAAAGAGAGTGTGAAATATTTTTGCAGTTTCTTCCACATCTGCTTTCATTGCCTCTGCTGGAATGTTGTCTGGTACTGCTGATTTGCCGCTCTTGATTTGTCTGATGTCCATACTGATCTCTTCAATTGTAGGTGCGTCAATAGTAATTGGGAGGTCCGTGGATGCTGCTTTGATGTTGGGTGTGTTCAGTGGAGCTGATCGATTCAAGAGTTCCTTAAAGTGCTTTACCCTCCTATTTCTCTGTTCTTCAGTGTTGCTGATTACTTTGCCTTCCTTGCTTTTCACTGGTCGTTCTGGTTTACGATGTTTTCCAGCGAGCTTCATATCCACTGTTGTATATGCCAACCTTGGCATTTAGGTCTCCCGTCAGAATGGTCAAATCCTTTGATGAGCATCTGTCGACGATTGACTGCGGCCTTTCGTGAAATTGACCTTTAACGTCGTCATTGTAGTCGTTGGTAGGTGCATAGCATTGGATGACGTTCATTGTAATGTCCTCCTTCTTTGTTTTAAAGGATGCTTTAATGATCCTTGGTTCATGAGATTCCCGTCCTATCAGTGCTTTTTGTGCATGTTTGGACAGCATCAGTGCAACTCCTTGTGTATGTGGAGCATTTTTCTCTTCATGACCAGAGTATAACAGCAGTTCCCCTGAAGCTAGTCTCAGTTGTCCTACCTGTGTCCAATGCGTTTCACTGATGCCGAGCACCTCGAGGTTGTATCTTTTGATTTCTGCTGCAACTTGAAATAGTCTCTCAGTCTCCCACAATGTTCGAACGTTCCATGTACCTGAAAGAATGGTTGCTCTGGTTGTCAGAAGAGGCATCGGCCCTGTGACTTCCGAGGGAACTCGGCTTTCATCAAGAGACGTCATAATTCTTCTTCCAACTCCTAGGGCAGAGTTGAAATGGTTTGAGTTAATTTATCTGGTTAGCGTTTTGTTTGGCAAGTTTGTTTGTTGTTGGGATGTGGGCGCCCACCCCATGTCCAACCCTTCCTCCTTTATGAGGGCTTGGGAACTGCAGTATCCTCGATGGTTTTAATGTCGGTGTTGGGTTTCGAAAGAAATAGTTTATTCATAAACATCAAGTTTCTGGGCATTGCTGCATTTGATATATTAAAGAAATGACTATCTTGATTCTTGAATTATAAGTTTTATTCGTAAATATTATGAAAGTTTTTCTGCGGCAAGAATCACATTCACGGGAATGTCAACAATATGTACCTGCTCTCTGCATTCATAATGTTTAACAGCTGTAGTGGAGTAGGTTTAAACGTCCGGGGCAAGGCGTGCACTTGGTAAACGAATATGACAGTACTATGGTTCATCTGTATCTACAGCAGAAGTAAAATCAATAAAGAGTGAAACTCTTGAAAATATGGTCAACTCAGATGAGAATGCATTGAGTGACTTGTATTTCATTATCCTCAATTATGTGTGGGGAACATTCTGGAAAAGACATGGATCTGCAACTTTTTCCTAGACGAGGCAATAGCTATTCATCATTTCAAACTGGGTGTCTGTGCACAGAAAATTAAAGTTCATTCTTTGCTCTCCGATGATCGTAACAAATCTTTCTGGCTTTGACAAGTTATAAGGGCTAATTATTTCCTACGTTGTCTTATTTTCAAAGTCGACAATCATCCTAATTATTTATTCATTATATTTTTATCTTTAGTTACTTATAACGTTAATTCTTGATTAATTTATCAGGTTATGTAACTACATTTTGTTCATTAGTTTAAAAATC